TGAATTGCTCTTAGTCTGGCTCATCACCTGGGACCTGTTTGTCATGGGAGACCCTACCAGGAGCTGAACGCTCCAGACAACTCAGCTCCCAGGATCTTCTGAGCTCACAAACCCCTCCACCACGATAAGGTGGCAATTCAAGGAGGGGGGTAAAAGGGGAAAGGGGAGTTGGGTGTTGGTTTTTTTTTTGTTGTTTTTTTTGTAAATACATCGTTTAAAAATATTATAACGAGGCTTATATTTGCAATATTTAAAAAAAAAATGTCATTGTTATACGTTGTTATAATCAATAACCTTAACTGACTCATAACCATTAATAGTTGGTAAATGAGAGGTTTCAGTTAAGAACGAACATATTTTTTTTAAGATAGGGTATTTTTTCCATTGTCTGCTACAGATCACAACAATGATGATGATGATGATGATGATGATGATGATGATGATGATGATCACCCTAGGAACTAGGAAAACACAAAACAAAAACAGCAAAATAACTGACGGATCAACTTTCAGTCCAACAGATCCAGGAGGATCAACAACACTCAGTGTGATGTTGCAGACAGATATCCAAGAAAGTGTTTCTTCCTTGAAGACAAGACACTCGTATGTTCCAGTGTCATTAGTCGTCACCTTCTTCAGAATCAGAGACACGTCTCCATCCTTCATCTGTTTGTCCTGCAGATCCACCCGGTTCTTAAAAGATGGATGCTGGTCTTGTGGCTGAGGGTGCCCTTGGCGGTTCAAATAGACATATTCTTCACCCAGGTCAGCTCTCCTCCACTTTACACCTATCATGTTGGTGTTGTTTGGAGCTCGACATGGCAAAGTGATGTCCTGTCCGGATTTAACTGTCTTTGTCTGGTCTGAAAAAGGAAACCGAGCGTAGAGGTTAAATGGAATAAACTGTTAACTTCTACAGCAATGGTGATGTAGACGAGACCAGTGGTCTGTACTGGGCCAAAGGAGATAGAGAACTGTTTTGATACCTGGTACACTGATCTTTCAATTAGAAACAACATTCTCAAAGTATCCTCAGTTGAAGTCTGTATAACAGGAGATGTTCTGTATGAATGCAGAAAACCTTAAATTATATGCAACAGAGGCACTCTTTAAATCAATCCAATTGAGTTGTTTTTCGCTAATAACGCTTGTTTTGATCATGTTAACTCTATTCATATTTTCCATAATCAAAAAGACGAATTAGAATTTGGAGTCCCCTGCTTTGCACACAGAACAGGTGCCGGTTTGCTGCTGGTCCTTCTTCGAATTTATAGCACACTGCGGATTGATACTGAGACAACGTTTCCGTGATGCCCCACCCTGACTGCGCGTGGGAACTATTTTCTTAAATGTTTTTTTTTAATTCCTAAAATGAACAAAATAATAAAAAAAAAAACTTAAAAACATTTTTAAAACATTAAATTGTAATATAACTATGACCAATGTCGTTTGGTTCAGCAGAGTATGAGCAAACATTTTGCTGTGGATACCAAGTTTGTGTCTGGTGTGTGAAGGTCTTTTCACACCAGCCACGAAAACAAATGTTTTGTGTGTTAAAAATAAGTAATAAGTAATTTAATGCATTTTAAAACTGTAAAATGTGTGTTAATCCTAATTATTTATGCTAATCATGTATGTTAATGTAATTACAAACTAAAAATCTAGATTTTTTAAAGTATTTTATTTACAAAAAAATATTTTAAAACACTGAATTTAGGCTTGGGCATTACATTGCAGTCGTGCTGAGGTAAAAAAAAAAATGGTGAAGACAAAAACAGGTGAGGTATTTTGGTGTCTGATAAATTACAAACTCATGAACATGTGAGTCGGACTGGACTTCTGATATTATTTTCTCACCTGTTCCCGAATCAACACAAACCCACAGAGTCAGAAAACTGCGTGAACCTTCAAATGACTTTGAAACACAGCGGACGTCTGCTGCCATCTACTGGTAATGTAGGTGTATTATGGCAGAGCTGCAGATTCTTATCACAATAAGAAGATCGAGAGTTTAGAGGTCCTTAGTATGATATAAAAAGTTAGACATTAAAGTTACTTTATTAGCTACTATTATACTATATATATACTAGCTACTATTATTAGCTGATGATTTGATTTATTATTGACATTTATAATAATGTGCTACAAACTGTCCTGGTTGAACAGGAAGACAGAAAAAAACATCAGTTGTGCAAAGTGAAGTTTAACAGTTGTAAAACAGTCAGCCTTCATAACCAATTTTGACTTCAGAAATTTAATTTAACTTTTCACTCACAAGTTTCTGCCCCTGCTGATCTGTGTGCATGATGAGGTGCCAACATATACACCAACAGTCCTGCCATCAGGCTGCTCATTGTAACTGAGTACTTCTACTCTGCTTTACTTCCTGACACTTTAATCTTTCATCTGAGGCTGGACTCAGTGGCCTCAGTTCTGATCACTGGGATGTTATGTTGTGCTGGAGCTTACGAGTCATGTGTGCAGAGCATATATATAGATTTTTATTAAACAGATTTAACAGATTTTAAACATATTTATCAGATTTCATCCAAAACAAATTGAAATTCAATGACTCCGAAGATTTTTGATTACGCCCATAATTAATGAAAATAAAGAAAAAACCTGTTGGTCCATCACATTGATCTCTTGGTGGCGCTGTCACTTGGTGTTCGCTCGCTCTGTGGTAGAGTATCACTTCCTGTTCCTGCTCAAACACAGTGGTGTTTCTGAGTAGCTTATTTGCTTAGCAATTTAATTAACAA